AAAATACTAATGTCCGATGAGAATTCACTGAAGTTAAATGATTTGTAATGTTAGAACTTTATAAATGCTCCTGGTCAAATATCAAATATATGTATAGCAAACTAATAATAGACACTCTCCTTTGGCGCATTGCGTTGGTTATATTTATAGGCGTGTGGAGGCTTTCTAGAAAATTAAGATTATGTAACAATACAAATTTAAGCGTTTACGTACATACATATATTGTTGATTCTTACTCTCGAGAATCTTCTACACCTTTGGAGAATAGGTTGGAGTTTCACAATACATATTTAACAGTATAAGCTATGCATGTTTTTAGATATAAACTTAATCTAAACAACGTTGATATTACAATAAATATATAATAAATTCGTCACACCTGTTACAAGATGCCGCACTTTGCTTAGCACAGTTGGGGTACGACTTGTTACAGGTCTCTTTCTTGATGGTCCTGGTCCATATTTCTTTGTTTTCCAATACCATTGCCCACAATGGCCATCCTAGTCTTGAACATTCTAAATCTTCGATCTGAACATATTTTTTTATGATATGAGTGTATGAATATATTTTCGTCTGATAGGGCTATTACAAATCTTTCCCAAAAACGTTCAATTTTCTGTAGCATCACACTACCTAATTAACATAAAAAAATGTCGAAATGTAGTTTTGATGCATCTTTCCACTGCGAATATAGATTGGTTATGGTTTTCATGTGACTGGCTGATTTGCGTATTCAGAATTATTTTAATATAACGAACTCAACCCTCGGTAAAAGGCACCGTAAACCTCGGAGATTATCCACAAACAGCCATGATGGTCAACATTTAGTAAAATTATTATATTAGTTTATTTTTAGGAATAGTCCATTCGCATAATTTCACCACATTATATCGTTTTCCGCTTTAAAAATGTTTCTTGAACCATCGAATACAGCAAGTGGAAACCAGTGGTGTAGTATTATATTTTGTAGTGCTGGAGCTCTGTCAAAATATGTCAATATCAGACTACTTAATAACATTAATTTTACATTTGTTTTAAACAACAGCTGGGTACCATATATAAATATCACTAACATTAAAACAAGTTTTAAAGACGCATATCTTAATTTACTACATTAATTAATTACATTAATTACATATCTTAATTTACAGTAATTTACTACATTTCTAACTGCACTACAGTACTAACAACTTTGACTTTTATAATGCTTTTTACAACTCCTAAAAAAAAAAAGGGCTACCTTCGTGGTAAAAAACATGCACGTTTTAAACACAGTATAATAGTAAAATATGTTTTATTGAGTGTTTTCGTAACATATTCATGTGTCTTAATAACCATGGACGTATGAGAAAAACAACATTTTATGATTTTAACTCTTGAACCGGAGTGACTATACGGTGCCTTTAACCAGCTCCTGAGGGAGAGTGACAGTGTGTGCAGGAGGTATGAGAGAGCTACACTAGTGGACACAGGGGGTGGAGGATTACAAAGAGCCAGTGTTCTCCGACGCTCAGAGAGTTTGGTTTTGAAAGGCATTTAATTTCGGGTATAAATAAAGAATTTAAAAATATTTTTACATACATAGTTTGAAGTGTCGAGACCCAACTTCAGCTGCAGGAGCGGCATTTCGGTGCGCTGCAGCACCATTACATCTCTAGTAGCAACATGCAGCCCCCTAGGAGTTAACCTCTCTCTCTGCATCCTAAAATAACCAGCACAAGTGGTTTGCAAGAGTTAATGCTATTTGTAAGTGATGACAGCAGGCCAATCCAAGTACATTACTGTCATTAATGTCAAGCTGGTAAATACTCAAAAACTAGATGATAAAACTTTTAAAATTACACAATACAAAACTTTTTCGACGACGCCATGCTTTATCTAAACGCTTCTACATGTTTCGGTTGGTCACAGACACGCCAACATAAGGAAGGAGATAGCAGTGAAACACAGTTTCGATGTTTGTTTATTTTTTCAATATCCTACGTAATGAAACAGTTCTCGATCTAACTTAAAAGGTTCTACCACCTATACATTTTTCTCCTAAAATAAATTTCTGCAATCCGTGTACCTTAGTTTTTTTACATCGTACTTTTTAAAAATCATTATTGGAGAGAGTTAATAGCATTTGTAATTACTTTTGTATTTAAATGTGTAATTTTTGCTTATGACTGGTAAAGGAGGTCTTACGGGATTATTTTAGGTTGTCAATCACTGATTTAATAAAATCTTCGAATCTTTGACACCAATGTGTGAATCATTATACTTTGTAGAAATATTCTCATGAACAACAAAAAAAGATATCACAGAACACCATTTCTTTACTTAGAAATCAACGAGCTATTTCGATTGTGCAAATCCGTCATATTTTGATTTCTTCGTCTAGCAAAGTGAATTATAGCTCATTTTTGTTCTATCTAAAACTTAGCAGTTGCATTTTAAACCTCAACGTAGTGACCATACTTGTTATATGTTTTGAACTCCATCCTTGAAGTATTAGGTGAAAATATACACTGATTTTTCTCCATGAAAACCCAATCTCTTTTCTTAATTTCAATAATATTGTTGCGTCAGCGAGGTCACGTGACTAGTGTCACGCCACCTGCTTTCTAGAAATATCCTGTTCCTTCGTGAATGCCCTAGCATTTACTAGCTTGGGGGTAGTCTGGTATATATAGGATGGTCACAACGTGACGGGACAATGTGTGTAGGTAATGAGTAATTGAACTGCAGTCAGAGAGAGACGTATTGTTGAAGTCGAGCTCGTGAGACGTGAATTATAGTTTGTTATAGCGCGACTGTTGAAGTTGAGTGTATCGTAAAGTTGTATTCGGAAAGAATAAACCAGTTTTATTTAAGAAAGGACTTGTATCGCTAAAGTTTCGTGGGAACGAATTTACGGAAAATCAGTTAACAAACGGAGACGTAACAATATCTTTGTTTAGAATATAACACTGGTTGCACCTCATACATTTGACCTTACAATATTTATATGTACAATAAATTATCACCGATCTTGACAAATGCTGAATGTTTACATGTTAAAGTAAAAGTTAAAATAAAATGTATCCAAATATATCTGTTTACATGTTCATCATAAACTGACGTTTACAACAACTTTCTTGATTGACCTGAGGAAACACCTTTAAATTAGCGGATT